AATGCAATGCACAGTGGAAATGATCATCAGTGAATGACTGAGCCTGAAGTGACTTATTTAGACTAATTTGTGGGAACTCTGATATCTTGCAAAGGCACGGATTTGAAAATCACCTTAGGAGCACCTTTTCTTCCCTTCGTTCTTCCACAGGATTAGAAAATGGATAATAAAGGTAGCAGAGAGGCAAGGAATAGAAACATTGGCTATGGAATTTCTCCTGCTGTGTGATTTCTCTTGACAGAGCTGCTCACGGAAAGCAGAATGTGACCAAAAAGTAAGATCCCTGCTCCACCTTGTTCTCTCTAGGCTTTGCTCCACTTGCTGCTTTTGCTTTCCATTGGAAGTCTCATTTACATTCTGTAAAATATATCCTGCTTTTTGCCGTATAATAATCATTCAATTTCTGCTAAAAGTGTGAGAATAGGATGTATCATCTGTATGTTGAACACGTAACAAGGTCCTTCAAGGCTACTGTAAAATTATTTTCCTTTTCTTAAAATCATGGTCAATAAAAAACTGTTTGATAGCGTCTCCAAATCATATGTTATGTAAAGAATATCTCTTTCTATCCCTATGGAATTTCCTTCTTTCCTTTTCATTATATGACCTATTGCTGTTGCTCTATGACAAATGGCAAACAACAATTTCTTACCTGCTTTCTCTGTTCCATGCATAATTTTGGATAATTCATCACGCTCTTTCTTTTCTATTGTAAATAGCCCAGATTTTTCAATATTAGAGTGTTTCAGACCTTTATCATTTTCATTTCTCTGCTGTTTCTCAATGTGGCTTTTTTTTTTTTATCATGGGGTAATCAATGTTGTTCTACAGTATTCCCACCAATGCAACATATAGACTCTACAGCTATAGATAAATTCTAGTGGTTTCATATTTACTCGTCCTGCACACCAATATTTGTAATTTTGCAAAAACACCTTGCAGCTGAACTGAAACTTTAAAACGAGCCGTTTGCAGTGGTCTTCCCTTAAATAAGGTGGTGATAAGCACGGAACGATGCTTTCCTAGGTGTGATGTTCAGCTGCCATCGAGACATCCCGGCTGCCTACGCAATTCCCAACGATGAGGACCGGCCTGTCCAGCTGCTGCTTCCTGTAGCCACCGGGCACACCAATTTGAGGGGAAAAATAAGAAATCTGTGACAGCAGAGGCTATTCCAGAGCTGCCGTGGGTCTGTCTCAACTCAGAAGGCAAGGTTCAAGGTACAGGTACTTCTTCCATAACTCTGAGCTGTGCTAATGCTTTCTTTTTAAATGGTGTCTTTATGTGAGTATCCAATGTCCCAACAGTGTGACATTAATGACATGATCTTCATGAAATAATAGCTTGGTTTAGAAATCATAAAGCTTTCCGAAATAGAGCAGCAGAGTCCTGGCTCTTCTGCAGCCAACTAGGATCCAAAAAATATGATTTATTTTTTTCCTTATACGAAGCCTTGTCATAAGGGGGACTGGTAGCATGCAGTGCTGTTCATAGATGAGAGAGAGAAAAACAAGGAATGTTCTTGTTTGGTTCAAGCTGTTTGTCCCGATTCATCATCTCCGATTCAGGATTGAAGCTCCGAATGCTGCGTGTCCGTCTGCGGGCGCTGTTGATGTGGAGAATTTGTTGGGCTGTGAATGTTTGTGGGCTCCTGGCCGGGCCTCCCTCGGGTCGCTCAATACAGGCTTGTTTCAGAGCTGGGTGACACAAGTTTCAGAGCTGGGTGACACAAGATCCCGGGCGCTGGCCGGGGTCGCGGGGTCCGTGTGCGACTCATTTCTTCCAGCTAGTAAGAGGCGATTCAGCCTGAACAATGTTTAATTCAGACATTAAAAACAGGCATCTGACTTCCAGGCAAAGGGAGGAAGGGGTAGCCAGAAGGAGAATGAACAGTTATTCTCAAGTTAATAGGAGTGATTTCCAAAAAAATAAACGGTAGGGTCACTGGCAGGGCCACCTGGGATAGGATGGCCTGCTGGGACTGTGTGGGATCAATTTGTCTCTCAGATTTTATTTGCTCTTCTGTATTAACACTTTATAGAATTTTAAAACTATAATCATATAACATCATGTAGAAACTAGATACAAGGGAATCATTAGGTTTATTAAGTACTGGGTAGTAGTGGGTGATTTATGTACAAACCCAGGACACAGGCTCTCTGCTGTTTCTCCAACAACTGGATAGGTTTAGTTCTGACATAGAAATACTGTTTTTTGCGTGACACTATTATTTGGAATTTTCTGCTGGGAATGGAAAGATGCCTGTTGATTAATGGCTGTTTGGGCATGCTTTTCTTGTACCCTGAGCTTAGCACAAACTGAGGTTCAAACTGCCACTATCAAACTTCCAGTGGCAGCTTCTGCAGCTCTGCATTTTGTCAACGGTACCGCAGAAAGAGCAAGCGAACCTTTTTCCAAATAAATAGAACAGGGTTTGGAAATAAGTAGAGGATCCAGGAGGTTCCCGCAGGCTCCAGGGGTGGAGACACGTGCCCCGTGATGCTTTTCCAGCATGCTTGTTTAGGTGCATGAAGTGTTGACACACAGTAGTTCTTTTTGAATGAATAAATGCATAAATGAAATGCTGCTTTCTTGTATGAAGATATCCTAAATATTTATGGAATAACATACAGCAACATTGCTGTTAAATGGATTGTCTCTTTTTATTAGCATTGTTACTTGCTGGTGTTGTGTGTACTTGCTGGTTATGTTACTTGCTGGTATTTATTAGCATTGTTAGTGCTAGACTTGTGCTTCCACATTCCGGGTGAAAACCCGCCCGTGCCTTTGGGGGCAGGAGGAGGGTGGGATGTCCCAGAAAGCCCCGTCTCCAGATCAGGAGCCGCCGCCCGCGACCCGCTCCCTCCGCTCCTGCCCCTCGCCCAAGGGCAGAGCCAAACCCGGCCCCGGCCGCGCGCGGCTCCCGCATCCCGATCGCGAGCGGAGCTGGGGCCGCCCCGGGGGCCGCGCGGAGCTGGGGCCG